AGAGTCCTGCAAGGGGATTGGGATTCTGCAGGTCCCAAGTCAAATATTGCAGGAGTGGGCGTTTTGGAGATTGTAGCAGGCAAGCGCAGGCAACTTAGAAAAAAAATAGCAGATCCCTAGTTATCTAGAGTGCATCTGAGTTAGCTAAAATTTGAGGTTAAAAGAAAGAAAATAAATGCAAATTTAAAACAATGGTATGCCATTGTCAAACTAATTGAACAGTGATATGTACTAGATTTCTCACTTTCACCCTAAGGCCGACCCGGCCTGATGCGGGAGCATATAGAACAGACAGCAGGAGCGGGAGTTAATGGTCTGAACATTTAAAGAGGAAGTCACCCCCATATCAACCGTTCTTTGCTAAACTGTATAATTTGCATGTTCATTAGTGCTGCAGACACATGTAGTCAATATTCTGGCATTTTAATCTGTTGTTTAAAATTAAAATATTCTGAACCATTGGTGTGGTGCCCTCTTCAGGTTAAAACTCTGCACCACATTGAATTATAATGGCTAAGCTGTATTTTATTGTTGCCAGTACCTTATGATGTCAGCTGCACTGCCACTATGAAAGCAGCTGTCTCAGGCAAAATCATTCCTCTGTAGAGAGTTGGACTTAAATAGCAAGGCCACCAGTTTTAAATTATATGGCTCAAGGCCACTTTCCTCCTCCAAAACACCTTCCCTCTGTCCTCTGGTGATGACCATGTGGAGAAATCCTCCACTTCAAATGACTGAGGCTAAGGGGCTAGAGTCGCTATCAGGGTCTAGGAAATACTGCCTTTTGTCCCATAGAGTGGAGTGTGTGCGTGCGTGTTAGCAACTTTGTCCAAGCTGTTGTGTGCTTGCATGTTTGGAAGGGGGGTGACTTGCTCTTTAAAATAATAGTACTGTGGAAGCCTCTACTTGTCATTGAGGTCAATGGATTAAATTGATGTAACCAACCAGTTTGACTCAGATAAGACCTGTGAGACTGAGATAACTACCTGGGGTCACTTGTCAGTGAAACCACATTATTTTAAAATGCATTGTTTTTATTTGTGATATTTTAAAAGTAAATTCCTTGTTTTCATGTGACATCAGTGCCAATGCAAAATGTCCACCTGATGGGCAAAACAGTGATCCTTATCTGTATAGTTACCAAACTAATCAACATGAAGACAACCCAGATGCTTTTATCATCTGAGAAAGAAAATCCAGAGGATTTGGTGAAGAAGACTTTTGGAAAAATTTCCCGGACACATCGAGACAACAGATTCTGGTCCAAATGGGTTTTCTATTAGGTCCCAGGTCCAGCCATCTACTGGCATTAGTTGACATAAATAATCAGAAACATCTGAAACTTAGTAATGGAACGGTAAGACTGATTCTCACAGAATCAGAACCAAACATTTATTCTCTCTATATTAAGTTCTGGAGTCGGGTTAATGTTTGAATGCTTTAAAATGTCACTGATGTTGTCCTTGACCAGCAGTGGGGGTAACAGTCCTAACTGTGGATTAGATCATGTGAACTGGATCCAGATCTGTGTGATTTAGATAAAAATAATAAATGTGTCTAAATGAACAAGCAAGTTGTCTTTAGTTCTCTTTTAAGACTGAAGGGCATTTCCTTTGTCTGAATGAATTACTGGCCTTTAAAAGCCTGACAAGCTTAAACGAAACAGTGCAGAATTAACGTATTGCCAAGTTAAAACTTTAAGACAAAGAAAGTTTAATAATAGTTCTTATTAACTTTCTAGTGAGACTATATTTGCATGTCATGGTTAGACGTGTAGGCAGCAGTATGGAAGGGGTTTTGTAATAGTTTGTTAGCTAGGGATTCTGCTCAGACTTGTAAAGTTCAGCATTTGTTTCTGGAAGCTCTTTTGTATAATCTGTTTAAACTAAAGCCTTGCTGAATGACAAATATGTATTAACAGAGAAGGTAGGTGCTGTTTTGAACCTTTATTAAATTGATTATTGTGCCGTTGAAAGTTATGTATTTGAACTAAACATTGCCACTTCTTTAACTTCATTTACTCTGATCAGCAACTTTTTTTTCTTTGCTTTTATACGTGGACCTAATTGAATTACTGCATCATTTAATAAAGTAGATGTCATTTTTGTGATGTATGTACAAACTAATCTAGTAAGCTAGGGTGTTTTGGTAGATGTTAGTGTTCAAAGAAATCACAATAAACAAGCCAGCTTATAGTCAGATAGGTTAAAGTTTGATTTTACACAGATAACCATAAGAGTCTAGACTGATTTTACCAAGATCCTTAAATCTAAAAGATGTTTGTGCGTTGTTGTATGTAATTCATTGGCCTAGCCCACCATGAATATTTACAACTGTGTAATCTGAACAAAAAGAATGGTAAGCCTGAATACCTCCTGGTGCAGGAGCTGAATCAGCTTCTGATTTGACCCTGATAGACCAGCTCTGGGAAATGACAGAAGTAAAAGAGAAGGTACATATATGCAGTGTTGGGAATGTTTATTTTAAAAACTAACTAGTTCAAAGTTCAGTTCATACATTTTAAAATGGACTGGTTCATAGATCATAACAAAAAAATATAAATAAAAATAATTTATATATAAATATTAAAAACATGAAGTGTGTTTTGAATGGCTTTTATAAAAAGAGGACTTAATAATGAATCTGAAGGAAGAACCAGGCTGAGGTAGGAACAAAGTATGTACCTGAAAGTGCATTATTCAAAAACATTAATTATCTTTAAATCGAGTAACTTCTCAAATTTTGTGAATACATTTTTTGACACAAAGAAAAAGAAACCGTTATAGAACGTGGGTCATAAAGTGCAACAATCAGTCCCAAATGGATGAGTAAAAAAACTAAATCAATGAATAGTTAAATATTACTGGTGCAACTCTGTGACTAATGTTGTCGGATTTGATGCTTTCCTTGGTTCATTCCAGTTTATTCCATAGTCGGAAATTCCATTTTCAGAGAAGAAATAATCTAGGAAACACCCCCCAACCCTCCAAAGTCAGAGAATGTTTTTAATCCAACTTCGAGGTTTAATATAGCAGCTCCTTGTAATAACAATAGTAGCTGTGTTGGAAACGTGTTTTACGAGATAAACCTAAGAGTGCATCTAAAATTAATGTTAGGTACAACTGTATATTTAAGAGGTAAATGGAACGCACCATGACATCCTTCCTCCACGGCATAGACAAGTGTAGACACCACACCGACCACTGCTGCCTATGGTGGCCGCATTTGCAGATGGTTCTACTCTTTATAAAGTCTATGGTTAACAGGGTGAGAGATGAGAGAATGCCCTTTACTAATTCGTTCACTCACGCCAGAATGACTACGGTCACTTTAACGTTCATCAGGCAAAATACGAGTTCACGTTTACAAAAAAAAGAACGAGTCCACCAATGGTCATTCAATGAACGCATTCAGCCACAACACTGCATATATGTGCCTAAAGGTGCACATTTAACCAACAGTCCATTGAACCTAAATGGCATGAGACCTTTTTAGAAGACATAAAATGTTACTTCAGTTCTCAATCTTCTGCATTTTCATTGAAGTCTGACATACACAGTCAATCAATAAAATTAATAATCTAAAATGGAGACGTCTCACTTGTTAGAGAAAGGTTTGTTTCAGATGTACAAGCTCAATAATTCTAAATTAATTTTTTTGAAGTTTTTGTTATTTGAAAGCATTAGCTTAAATCGATTACTCCTCTACCCACCCCCGCCATAACCTGCACATCCTCCCTTTGTTGGCTATATTTACATTATCTTAACAAAAGTGCACAAGCCCAAATTAGGCTGGGCGCTTTGGGTTTGGTCCAAACACTAATTTGGACCAATATATAGCTAATTCTGTAAGGTTCTGTGCAATCATGGCTATCTTATTGATAGCCTTGCCTGCCAGACCCACCCTCTGTCTATTCTACACAGAGGACGAGTCTGTATACTCAAAGACAGAGAGCACCATGGCGGGTAGGACTAGCCAGCTAAAAAATAACCAGTCATAAAAAAGCGGAAATGATTATTGTATCATGTGACACTGTAGATCTTTAGCTGTTGTCAAAGAAGGCATCTGGCGATGGTGCAAACATCTTTTTTTAGAGGAAAGATTTTTAGCACATTTTCTTGTCCAAGTCATTTAGAACGGAGAAAAGAGCTGCAGTGTGACGTATGCTACTCAGCACTTTTCGGCTCGGTTTGAAATTCTCATGGGTTGGGGTTAATTGAATGAGAGTGTTACCAGGCCCTTTGCGCCCCATGAGGAGACATCGGCATGGCTGGCAAGGCTATCTTATTGGCCCAGTATTTGGTGAAATTTATTTTTTCTTCCTCGTTCTTTGGTGGTAATGGACAGAGTGTAAGAAGGCCACTTTGTTGAAGATTAAAGTGAAAGTTACTCAAACAACCAGCTTCTGGCCAAAGTAGATGTCGGTCTAATCAGGCTGGAGATCACCAGATGGGACTGAAAAACCATTTTTGTTTCAGAGAGGAGATGATGGTGCAGAAGATCAAGTGGAAGGAACACTATTGTCTCTTTGGTCTTTACTGCTGTCATTACTTATGCTGTCATATCAGTGGTCAGCTCAGCAGTGGCTCTTATGGTTATGTATTTAATCGTGGCTTTTAGCCAAAGAGAATACAATTTTAACACAACATACATGTATTTGCACTATGGGAGGTATCCAGAGAACCCAGAAAAAACCCACACATTCCAACTCCATGCAGAAAAGCTGCGGCCGGGATTTGAACTTGCAACCTTGCTGCAAGACAACAGCACTACTAACTGTGCTAATATGTGGCCTGTGGTGATGTGTTCTTAAAATCTTTTGATATTATTCAGATTTTGGTCCCATTTACTATCCAAGTATTGCACAATTCGTGGAGGACTGTGGTAGACCTTTGTGTGAGCAACAGCTGACAGAAAAGTTTGGCATAACTTCTTTCCAATATACCTGAAGTCAGTTACAAAATTTTCTGCTGACCTTTTTTCTCTCTTCTTCTTCTTAGATAAGCCACTTAGCGAGCCCAAGAATGTCTGGATTTGTGGTCATTCACTTATCTATTGGGCTGAGTCACGAGCCAAGTCTCCAGAGGTAGGTATGCAGCTGGGCATGGACCCTAGCAAGGTGACCATCTGGTGGAAGGGCACCCAGGGCATGACGTGGTCTCAGTTGTTACCCCAGCTCCACCAGCTAAAGATCACCTGGCCAAACCCTGAGGTTCTTATCATTCACCTGGGTGGCAATGACCTGAGCACAGAGAGCCCAACTAACCTGCTGGCCTCCGTCAAGAAGGATATGACCTCTATTAGAAGCATCTTCCCACGCTGTGTCCTGGTGTGGTCCAACATTCTTCCTCGAAGGGTGTGGCGCCACTCGTCGGACAGCCATGAGGTTGATCTGGTGCGCACGACTGTGAATCGTAGAATTCAGAACATCATGTCTGAGCTGGGTGGCATCTCACTGAGTCATGATAACATTCGATGCGGCACAAACACAGGCCTGTATCGGGGCGATGGAATCCGCTTGTCTCCTAAAGGGATTGATGTCTTCAATTTGAATTTGCAGGAGTTTCTAGAAAAGTGGGAGCTGGATGTGAATTCTGAGTAGCGTTCAAAGGAGAAACGTCACCCTTTTGTTGATTGTGCATTTTAATGTCTGAGATAGCGAGTCATTTTTATTAGACTAAAAATCTTGCTTTGTGTTAGTTTGTGTAACAACTTAAACATCAAGTTTCTGACCGCAGAAAAGGTAATTCTCTTTACATGTTTTGTTAAATATAACTTTTGCTGCTGTTTTCCATCAATTTTGTGGCAACAGCTTAATATTTCAGCCAGAAAAAACTTGTTTTTTCTTGACAAAATAAATAATAAGAAAACATTTTGAGAATCTAATTGTATTTTCCATAGTTTGTTTTTTTTCTGAAAGGATGTTCACATGGAAGTCATTAAAACAAGATGTTAGTGTCCAAAACATGAGTGGTCATGTGATTTTTATGTTATTTATTTATTGATTTATTTATTTTTGGGAACAAGCAGCATTTTCAAGTTTTGTTGATCTTTAAAATGTTAAATCATGTCACTGTGATCAGTAAACTTTTAGTCAGTTTTATTTAGTGATGTGTGCTGGTTAGATGTGCCTAAATCAAGAAGTACAAGTCAGTTGGAGGAGAAAGTAGTGTCAGACGTCAGGTTTTGGACTCTTATTTCCTGATATTTGGACATCTGGCCTCAGATTGCATTACAGAAATGCAACTCTACCACTGACTCTGCTGCTCCACAAATAATATAAGCTTGGAGGATCCGTGGGCTGCTGCGGTCTTTCTCTGAGATCTCTATAAGCACAACACATAGCTCCCCAGATCGGAGCTAGGAACCAGGGCCGCATGAGCCCACGCTTCTGTCCTTTGCAGAGGCCGGAGATCCGCAGGGCCACCGCAGTGATAGCCTCGCAACGGTACCTAGTCTCGGCACCCGGCCCTACCAACACGTCAAGTTTCAGCCCATTTTGACCAAGCAGCTTTATGCATTTTCCCCTATTTAACCAGAAAGATCAAGCACAGAAATATTATTTTACTTACTAATAAAAATGAAGTAGAGACTTATTGGATGGTCTGTTATTGCAGTCAGTACCACAGCTTGTCATTTTGTTAAATAATTCCATGATTAACATCCACCCATAAAGACACAAGAGAGTACAACTAAAGTAATCAAAATGGCCAAACATCTTTTACCGCATGGCCGAGGCTGAGACCTTCCTCAGAGCTAGCCACTTGTGCTAGATCTGACGCCTCACGCTACCTGTCAGTCAAATTTAATTATTCATAATTATATTTATTTGCACCTAAATGGAAGAGTTACAAAAAGGTTTCACCGTCTATTTTTTATCAGAAGTTAATGCAGGAGATAGGTGTAGGAGACTATTTTCATGTTCAGACTCAGAAAAGGGGCTTCGGTGGAAGATTTTTTTTAACTTGGGCTAAAACGTTTCTATATGATTTGGCCTTTCCTTCTCCCTGTTAAAATTCCATTGTTTTAAACATGTTCTTTTTTTTTTTTTGGTCATGTTTTTTTTATTTGTTTTTATATTCTATTTTATTTTCTGTACAGCGCATTGGTGTTACTTTTGTGCCTGTAAAGCACTATATAAATAAATCAATCAAACTTATTGATTAATAAAGCCTGGATAAATCAAACACGTGGAGCACAGACTCCATTTGCGCTTGAGACCGCAGGTTACAGAAGTAGGCTCGTACAGCCCGGATGATGTGGGCTTCCAATTTGCTTCCATCTTCGCCCCCAGGCTGGTGACAATTGACTTCTGGTAGGGAGAAAGAACATCTAAATTTGGAGCAGAACTCTCACTCACCTTCCTAGAGGAGAGAAATGTAATAAGCTCAGTTTTGCTCTCATGGAGGTACTTAGCTGTGAGCCTAGACTTAACATCATCCAAACAAGCCTGGAGATTAGAAATGGAGCCCCTTTCCCCAGACACAGAGCAAAATAATTCTGGCAGTCATCTACATAAGGATGAAACTTAACATCATGACTAAGCAGGAGAGCCCCCAAGGGAAGTGAATAAAGAGCAAAGAAGAGTGGTCCCAGGACAGAACCTTGTGATACCCCCAACGCAAGTCTTCCCAAGGTGACACAGCATCGCCCACCACGACACAAAACCTCCTACCCAAGAGATAAGATCGCAGCCATTCAAGAGTTGACCCTGTGATGTGATCCCCACCCATCGCTTCAGGCGATCTAGCAGAATGTCATGGTCGGCGGTGTCAAAGGCCGCTGTTAGGTCCAATAACAACAGCACCACAGCTGCACCCTGATCCATAGCTACAAAGAAATCCTTTAACACCATCAACAGTGCAGAGTCCACCCTATGTCCAGCCCTAATTCCAGACTGGAACATCTCAAACATCTCCAAACCGTCTAAAAAAATACACAAACTGCTGATAGACAACCTTTTCCAACAATTTAGAGGTGTAAGGAAGTTCAGGGATGGGCCTAGAATTTTCCAGAACAGACATGTCAAAGCCTGACTTTTTCATTATCAGCTGTATCACCGCATCTTTCATAGAAGTCAGAACTAAACATGAGCGCAGGCTGCCATTTATAATGTTAGTATAAATGGGCCCATTGAGGAGAAGGCCTCCTCACAGACACGAGGCGGCAGAACATCAAAAGGAGAGCCAGCCGGCTGTTGATAGGAGACTAGCCTTCAGCTAAATAGACGGGGTCAAAAGAGTCCAATGTGGCACGAGGCATGATCGATGACACAAACTCAGAAACAACATCCTACCAGCTACGGAAGGGGATAATTCAGGATCTTGAAGTCCCAACACAGAATTCAGGGTGCTGAAGAGGAGTTTAGGGTCATGTGAGTTAGCAGAAATGATGTCGGCAAAATATGTTATCGTAGCCTTCTTCATAGCATCCTGGTATGCAGCCAAAGAAAATGTCACGAGATCTGCAGACCATCTTTCTTCCACTGCCATTCTGCAGACCTACAGTCCCACCTGCACGCTCGAGAAGCATCAGAGAGCCAGAGCTCCCTTCCTAGTCTAGGCTTCCTGACCTTAGAAGGGGCAACAATATCCAAAATGTTCATGCAGAGCAAGTCAAACTGATGAGAAAACTCCTCAGTGTTGAAAGATACCAAGTTGAGCCTCTCCTCTTCTAAAGTAAAAGTTCAGCAAACTCAGTAACCCTTTCTGCATTTAAAACACAGCATCTTCTATAAAAATGGAGTTGAGAGTGACTGATTAAAACCAGAAATCATAATTAATGATTTTCAGTGTTACACACATTAAAACTTATGCCACAAACACAAATTTTGTTTTCTAGTCTATGAAAATTGTTGGACTAGAATATACCCTTCCTTCAGCATAGAGCAAAGGCTGTGAAATGTGTGTTCAGGTTTATGTCGGTGGACCTGGTTGTTGCGTTCAAATTTAGCAGAACCCACGAGACACCTCAGTTTATGTGTGAGCACTACTACATACCTGCCTGCTATGGATGTACAACACCCTGGTCTAAAGTTGACAGCACAGAGATAAACATGGTTAATTCATATTGTGATATACTACCATTTAATTCTTCTGTTTTCCGCTCAGTAGCCACACTTTCTTGTCATCTTCATCCAGTCATGCAGTCCTGGTACCTGACCTACATTTCTAATGCATGAAAAACGGAGATGTAAAAGAGAAAGGTTTTAGGTCCATAAATACTCTCGAGCAGATGAACAGGTTCTGAAGGGAAAAGGGGGGGAACCAGGACCTATGAGATTCTTAATCCATAAAATGAGGATTGATTGAATAAGTTTTCCCTAAAATATATGCTGCTTGGGAATCACATTTAAGCTTAAAGCGTGGTTCTTGTTTTTAATGGATCTAATCAATGTGTGTATGATCCGCTGCTGGTACCAAACTTCCCTGGAGCTGGAAGCCTTTTTCTGTCTGCATGATTCACTGTTTAGGGAGAAAAACGTTTCTCTGAACCCAAGTGAAGAATCAGCCAAAGTCCTGAGAGAAACATTTTCAGATGAACTTCATCCAGACCACTTCAGCTGATTAAAAGACAGTCCAACTTACCACAGGTGAATAGGTTGAGTCTGCACTATGATGATAATCATAGTTTGTGTCAACACAAGCAGAAAATGTGGGATCTTATAAAACAAATGTATTTTTTAATCACTCAGCACCACAGAGACATAATAAGATACCTTTCGTCAAACATTTTGACAGGTCTATTGTTCTTTGACCTTTCAGTCCTATTGTTCATTTTGACCCTTGACCTTGCCCCCCTTCCCTATCATCAATCAATTGGACAGGTGTATTGTTCAATGACCCCCTGACCTTGCCCCCCTTCCCTATCATTAATCAAATGGACATGTGTATTGTTGAGCATCCAGATGGCCTAGACCCCCCACGCCGCATCATCAATGGCGTATTGTTGAACGTCCAGATGTCCATGATCCCCCACGTCATAGGCTAATGTGTGTAATGGGCGTGAAGTTTCTTTTTGTGTTAGTCCATCGGTTCCCACAGCCCCCTCCCTTCTGAGTGTATTCCTATTGTGTTACCCCTAGCATAACTCTTTAAAAGCTCAGATCGTGTCCGAATGCTGAAAAGCTGACCTCTAAGAAAAAATGATGAAACACGAGGAGCTGAATGAAGCACCAAGCCACGAGGAAGAGGAATGTCACAAGCCTCTCAGATATGTTCATCACCTAAATTCAACACACAGAAAGTTTTGTCATCTAAATTTTACTGCAAATGCATAGAAGCATGAAAAAGAAGCCCAGCCAGGTAGCAGAACCATCTGGCAGATGTAGAATGTAGATTTGCTACCCAGATGAAAGATGTTTGGATTTCGTATGTTCAATCTTAAACTTTGTGTTTAAATGTGTTATTTACATGCAGCTCACTGACACTTTTTGACCAGAACTAAAACTATTGTGTAAAACTTTCTGTCCAGCAGCACATCAGGCTGAATCATCAGAGGCTGTAAACACACACACACACACACACATACATTTAAACCACTTTCCCCTTTCAGGAAATGCATGACTCTCTCTAAGACAAGTAAAGAATTTGGGGTTACCAACTCTAATCAGCCATTCAGCCACACCTCTCCTTATACTTTACAACAAAATCACCCATCTCAACCACAAAGCATTTGACTTACTTATTGTTCTGCAGGTGGCGGGAAGTTGTAAAACAAAGAACTGGCTGAGCCGACAACTCACAAAAGCAAATGACTTACTATTGTTTCAAAGAGCTATTTAGGATCATAAACCCCCTCACCTCCTGTCTTTAGTGTCACATTTTGCGACCCTTGTTTTCACTGACACACACACACACACACACACACACACACACACACAACTTGAGTTAAAGATCAGAGCAGCTTCAAATGCGTCTTATGTTGCGTCTTTTAAATCAACTGTTCCATCTTTACTGTCCTCAG